AACGTGCATTATATATACATACACTTAAAACATTACCATCTTTCTGGGGCAGTCGAATAAAAATAAATGATGTGAAATGATATTGGAATGACCTATTATTATTTCCATAACTAAGCGTCTATTAGGGCGAGTACTAAAGATAACATTGGTTTCCTATTGTTATTAATATAACTAAATGTAATATATATATATATATATATATATATATATATATATATATATATATATATATAATTTACGTGTCACGTTGTTTGTCCGCGACGGACTCCCAAATTACATAACCGATTGTAATCAAATTTGTACACCGTGTGCAGTTTGGCCCAACTTGAGAGATAGGATAATTTTTTTTGCCCATGAGTGACCCACAATTTTTTTTTTGCTAAAATAAGGATTTTTAATTAGGATTTCACAAAGTGTTGTCGAAAAAAAGGGCAGAAAAAAAATCTTTCTCAACGTCTGCCTGGCAAGCTAATTTATTATATATATATATATATATATATATATATATATATATATATATATATATATATATATATATATATATATATATATATATAATAAAACAATTGTAGTCCGTTAGTCTCGCTAAAGCTCGAAAATGTATCGAACGATTTTGATGAATACTTTTGTGTGTGTAGTTTAACAACTCAATTGGACTTGTAGGTTGCGCCTGATGTCGAGATACAGAAATCACTCGTGCTAAGCCGGGGCAAATCGCTAGTAAAAAATAAAAGTGCTACAAATTTCTTTTAAACGAACTTAGTATCGTCAAACATCCACTGCAAAGGATCAATGTTTCCATAAATCGTGTTAAACTGAAAACCACATCAGCGGCGATTAAGTGGCCGCGATCCCGTCGCCACTAGTCACTAGTTTCCGGGACACCCTCGTGATTAACTTCGTTATCAGCCAGGAATTTGCGGTTACAATTTGGCGAGCTCCTTCAACGTAGTAGTAACGGAGTAACGTGGTTAACGGAAACTTACACTAAAATTTAAAATGTAATTTAGATAATCTCCTGTTTAATAAGAATTTTTTTTTGATAATTATATCGGTTTTTTTAACATATGGTGACGGTGTAAGAATACCAACTACACTATAATATGACGACACCCGTGGGTGTCGTAGAGGCGTCGGGGGGAAATTAAACCAGGAGAAGGAGAGCAGCATCTTCCTAATAACAGCTGAATAAAAATACATAAATTTCAGTTGAAAACTGTCATACCAAGAGTGGCAACTATGGACGATATTATATCCCCTATGAGGAAGTCCATGTTCCAGGCCTATGTTCACCAGTTCACTTTTGATAGGCGGTAGATAATGGTAATTGAAATATCAGGATTCGTAAGTTTTACAAAAAAAAACCCGGTTTTGCACATAGACTGTAAAATACATGATTCTGAAAGCTAAGATGAAATTAATGCATTAGTTATGTTACTCATTGTTCGCCTTTCGTGATCTCGCTGGCAGAACTTAAGTAAGTGAACGCATCAGCGTTAAGTGACTACTGGTTAGGACGTAGCTTTTATCCAGATATTCCAAACTATTTCTATACTGTATAATGTTTCAGACAGCACTTATTTGCTACTTTATTATATTGCGTTAAAAAAATTGATTAGATAAGAGCCTTTGTACACACAATCGTAACCGATTTAATGTTGGGAGGCATGACTCGTATGAATCTGAAAATCATGAATGACCGAAAAATCAAGATTACATATTACTAATATCTCTATATAGTATAATATTGTGTGTACTATAGTATTCTATGGTATAATATGTAAATGAACTAATGTATCGGTAAAATAAAACCAATATAATATTTATCATGACTCGTTTTATCATTTTTAAGAAGGTTATTTTAAACGGTATTTCAAGGTTAAGAATATGAGTTAATGAACAAACGCTCTTATGTTTATAAGAAGCTTGCTGGTATTAATGGTAATTTTTAGTCATTCATTCATTTATTACAGCCTATAAAAGTCCACTGCCAAACATAGGCCTCTCCCATAGATCACCTCGTGGGAGGATATTGCCACAGATGCCACGCTTGGCAGGCGGGTAATGTTCTCGTCAGTCTAGCACGTAATATCTTAGTATATATACATTACGTGTCACGTTGATTGTCCGCGATGGACTCCTAAACCACTTTAATGGTTTTAATCAAATTTGTACACCGTGTGCAGTTTGGCCCAACTTGAGAGAAAAAAGACAGTTTTTTTGCCCATGAGTGACCCACAATTTTTTTTTGCGAATTCAAGGACTTTTAATAGGACATGACAAAGGGTCGTCGAAAAGGGCAGAACAACGTCTGCCTGGCAAGCTAGTTATACTATATTAACTCTTAAGTTAAAGGGACAAATGTTTCTGTTAAGATTTGAGAAGCAAATAACTATAATTTTATTAACTTTTTTACTACCCACTAATTAATATTACAACCGCCAATACAAAACGTACTTACATAGAGTATTATTTTTAAACGAAGGAGACATCAACAATAGACAATATGACACACATATAAAAACAATTTATTGGTTATACAACAGTTTCAAACAAGGCAAACGGACTTCAAAAGTTCATAAAACATTTTAATTTCTTAAATCTGCTGGTTGTGGTACAACATTTGTAATATATTATATAAAAAGGTTATATTAACACATACAAACGTAAGTCAAAGCGAAAACTTAAATCCTACGAGTAAATATCGTTATTTAAGCCACTAGCTGCCTATATTTCTGAATTCAAATTTTCCAGAGTGAATATTGATAAACATATTATTCCAAACATGTCTAAGCAATATCCTCTTTGCTTACGTCGAGAGCAACGTTTACACTGTCCTACGGCTCTGCACACGAAAACACATTTGCTGTATTTACGCAAATGTCACCTGCCAATATTTACATTGCCTTTAAACTTAGCTTCCTTAACGTCTTTTGCATCCGAAAACCTCCATGGATAGTGTACTGTGTTTGAAGTAAACTTTTTAACATAGAAAGTTTTGCTTTACTTTTAGAAAAAGATATAATTTTTTATATTTTTGAAAAATAATTTAGGTGTCTTCAAGGCAAGAGTGAACGGGCTTTTGTTATGTTAAGACATTACCGCTTACCAGCTAAAAAAAACTACGGTTGAGAACCCGCCTGCAAACGCTACGTACTCCAGCTTCCTGCAAAAATCGTCGCTCTCGACTCACAGGGATGACGACAAGCTCGGCAGATGTCACCGGTGCTATTATGTACTTAACATGTATCTCCGATAGTTGTTGGCCTTAATCACCTGTTATTATTATTGGGGGTTATTGATAGAGTTCACATCTGGTTGGGCTGCATAAATATATATATACAACATTCAACATAATTAAAAAAAAAAAAAAAACGCACTTAGAGAAAGTAGTTTGTTCAGAATCGTTTACTGAATCGATTCCTATAATTTTTAATATAGGTAATTTTTTATCCCAAAAATAATCAACTACGTAAATTACAGTCACACTAAATCTGTACAGTCGAAACATACTGAAATGGACCTTAACTTAAGGCAATAAGACTTTTAAGAGTGCAGTTTTATTTGTATTATTACTAATTCTGTCATTCAATAAAAATAAAGAAAAATGAACTTTATTTCAAGCACGTTAAAGTATTTGCGTTCGTGGATTTGTACAGTGACCACAACATTCTTCCGGAATTAATATAACTAATTTGATAAATAATCAGGGCATAAAAATGTTTAACTAAAAATTCAGTGTATGTATTATGATTATAACATAATATGCTAATTGGAGGGTGTGGGTTATTATATATATATATAATATACTAGCATAAATAATACATAAATAAATAAAAGCCCAACCAGATGGAAGCCCTCGGCAGGGGGAGACCAAACGGCCGAGGGTTAGGGGGAAAGGGAAAGAAACCGGCGGGCGATGCGGGCGGTACCGACGAGCACCGCCTTCTGCATTTGAGCCCGGAGCGGTCCATCACGGAGTCCCAGTCGCCTCAGATGACCTGAGAGCCGGATTTGCCCATTCGCAGAGACGAGTACAGGAATAATTTCGGTCGGCAAACCACCCCACATTTCGGCCACCTCGTGAGCCAGGTCCAGATATTTTGTTTGCTTATCTGTTTCAGCTTTCACGAGGTTCTCGTCATACGGAATAGTAATGTCGACCAAAAATATCCTTGACTGTGCCCGGTCCATCAGCACAATATCAGGCTTATTCGCAAGAATAATCCCTGTCTGTGATAATGGTCCGGTCCCAACAGAGCCTGGCGCGGTCATTTTCGAGCACGGCTTCCGGCAAGTACTTGTAATACGGCAATTTCTGTATCACGAGACAATATTTAACAAGCCTTATTATTATATACTATATTTCCCTGTGCAACCAGGAGGACCGCACACTTATCCGTCCCCAGACTCCATTCCAATGGAATTGCTAAATTCACAAGTGATGTTTAGCAGTATTCCATGGGATTCCAGATGGGAGCGACTGGAGGCGAATAACTTGAGGTCATCCATATAGAAAAGGTGGGTCACTTTTGTCCCTCCTTTCCGTAGCTGAAATCCCCTCCCGGAGCCCTCCAGTAAGGTACTGAGAGGGTTCAGAGAGAGGCGGAACCAGATTGGACTCAGACAATCGCCCTGGAAGATACCCCTTCTTATCCTTATGTGGTTCTCCGCAGCCATCATCCGCTCGCCCAGATGACAAAGGATCGTACTCCACTGCCCCATACACTGCTCGAGGAAGTCTTTAACCGTACAGTCTATCTTGTACAGCTCGAGGACTCTCTTTAGCCATGTATGGGGCACCGAGTCGAATGCCTTTCTGTAGTCTATCCAGGCGGCGGAGAAGTTCCGACGGTTGCGTTTCACCACTTTGCCAATGACCGCGTCAATGAGGAGTGGTTCCTTGGTTCCACGACCACCGCCCCGACATCCATTTTGAGCGCACGACATCACCTGATTTGAGTCCAGGTGACAAGTGATTCTCGCGCTCAAAATGGATATTAGTATCTTGTAAATGGTCGGTAGACACGTGATGGGGCGGTATTTGCTCGGGTCTGTGGTACCCGGGTCTTTAGGAACCAAATGGGTGATCCCAGTAGTAAAGAGGCTCGGGAGCGACTTCTGGTTGAGAGCCTCTTGAAACTGTCGGGCGAGCACAGTGTGCCACACCACAAACCCCTCCAGCCAGTAGTGATGCAGCCCGTCGAGTCACGGACTTTTCCAGTTCGGGCCCTACGGACCGCCTCAGCTACGTCATCCGGTGTTATAATGACGGGGTCCATGGGCGTTATTCTCGCACACTGACTCGCCACGACTTCCGTCCAAGGGCCCTCGCTGTGGTTTACTGGCTCTGACCACAGGCCGCACCAGAATGCTACAGTGTCGGCCTGATTCGATGCTGGGCCCGTTCCACTTACCATTGGTCGCTCCAATGATTCATAGAGCCTCTTCTGATCACTCTGGAAGAGACGATTCTGGTTGAACCGTGTCGACCTCTCGGTATATCGCCGAATCCGCTTTCCCCAAGCAGCGATTCTCTGCTTCAGATCATCTATGCGCTCCGTCAGTTTTTGCGTTATATCCGGCTGGGACAACAAACCCAAACCGTCACAATTCTTCCTGTTACTGCCTATATCAGTCTGCCGATGAGATCTCTAGCCTTTGCGATACGTTCCTCAATTCTTCTTCTCCATGCTGGGATAGCGCTACTTTGGCCAGTAGCGCGTCCAGACGTGGAAACCTTGGCGCCTATGATAGGGCAGACTGCCAGCGCGGCGCCAAAAAGAATTGAGTCCGTCTCGTAAAGGTCCCGGCTGGCTTCCAAATAGGTTCCACTGCATCATTGGGTTCAGAGCCCTCACGACAGCCCGATTCCGCTTGCTTAGGGCTATGCGCGGAAGTCGCGGTGGATTTTCGGACCGTTTCCACAATCGCCTCTTCCAATGAGTCCTCAAAAATCTCTAATTCCAGTTCCTGGGCGACTGTTCCATCATCATTTGAATCAACCACAACTGGGGTATTCACGGCGGCATCCACATTTGCGGGTTGCTCCACAATTTGTGGTGCCGCATCCTCAGCCGTAGCATTTTCATCCGATGAGGGAACAGCCTCACGTCGTAGCCGTTCGAGTTCGGCGACATCAAATATATTTGAGCGCAAGATATACCGAACTCGGTCTGCCAGGTTTTGCTCCGTGACGGTTAAAGATGGCTCCAGCTCAGCAAAAAGACGATGCAGCCTAGCCAAACATCCAGTTTCTTCCCCTTTTGCCCTAAAGTAGCCCGCAGTGCGTTTGCGTTCATTGTTTGTGACCAACGCATGCGACGTTGCTCCACCAGCGGCGGGTGCCGCTTGCTGAGTCCGAGAAGACCCAGCCGACACCAAGCCTTCTGGTGGGGATGATGGATGCGTTTATTATTATTATTATTAAAGAGTGGAAACTATGACAAATATTGAAACAATATATATATATATATATATATATATATATATATATATATATATAAGTATTCCCTTCGGAGTCATATAAGCTTGCCGCTATTTAACGTGAAACTAAGTTTCCAAGAAACTCCCACCTCACTAAAACTTAGGCGACCCTAATTCACAGCTAAGGCCTTCTTGAACTACGTTCGCATTTAAAGAGCGTCATTAAACCAAGCTCCTAGAACTTCACAACCGTTAACTGTTGCAAAATTTCAAGAAAGCTTTAATGATACCTCAGCGTGGCTAAACGAAATAAGATAAAATAATTTAACATATATATATATATATATATATATATATATATATATATATATATATATATATATATATTTATATATATTACCGTTATCGTTACAGCCTATCAAAGTCCAGGGCTGAACATAGCCCCCCCCCATGGATTGCCTCATATGGGGAGTATTTGCCATAGTTGCCACGCTTGGTAAGCGGGTTGGTAATCAAAGTTTAGAAATAAATTTTTAGTCTTTATTATGAAGATGCTGCTGCCCATCTCCTGATTTGTTTCCCTCTGTCGCCTCTTAGGACACCCACGGGAGGATACTATGGGGTAGTGGATATTCTTACAACGCTACTGTGCGGTATCTGGATAGTGTATAACATATATCACGCATTTACACAGATTTCGATGATGAAAAATTGATTATATTTTATTCGTGATAGAATTATGACCGCAGCACTAATGCGTCGGCTATACCGGGGCGGGATCACGATCACACAGAACACCTTTTTTGTTCAGTGTATCTGTATTTTAAGCCACAACATCCAATATCAGGTGAACTACGTGCACTTTTGTCACAATTACTACTATAAAAATTTTAAATAAGAAAGGTTATCACTTCTTAATGCAATATAACGTAATGTTTCTAACATCATAAGCCTCGAAAAAGAAAAAGTCTCTTTCTTCATTATTTCTATATATATATATAGTCTTCATTATTTCATGCACTCCAGCGACTTGGAGCGATATGATGCGTTAACCCCGCAACATCATTTATTATACGACTTAAAAATTTAAAGTACATTTTCTTGTGTTTTTGTAGGTTGTCCGTTTTAATAGTATATATACATGCTCATTACGTTAAAGAAGCCAACAACAGACTTGTCTTCAAGTGACGTGATGACGATGTTGTTATTTAAAATATAAACTTACAAAAAGTGTCGCATGATGCGTTGAATAGAATAATGTTGGAGGTGAATAGGTTTTGAAGCGACAGTAGCCTAATGGCACGGCGCGGATCGATAACTCAAAAGGTCGTGGGTTCGAATCCGCCATTTGACTACTGTCGTGAACCACTCCTAACACAAGCGTTTCAAGCTTACCAGGAGTGGTTAAAAGGAATATTAGTAATGTTAATGAATAAAATTACTAATATTTAAAAAAAATACGATATTCTCGACTAGACGGATGTTGTATCGCTACTGCGACTAATCAAGTAACGATCTGAGCAAATAATACTAACTGTCTTGTACAAAAACAATTCATATGCTATGAACTTCCTTAGAAACTGTGACGAATATATGTATATAATTTCGGGAAAAGTAGAATTATTGTGAATTTTCGCAATTAAAGTCGTGTTTAAAATTTTAATATGATTCGTATCATTACCAGCATTATTTCATTTGAGTGTACATATTAGAAAATAATAAGAAATCTACCTTTTTAAATGAAACCTACTTTTCACAAACCTATTTGACACAATCGTTGTAATAAATATTAATTATAGAAATTTACTGTAAAGACACAGCACTTAAATAACAGATGTGAACGAATGATAATCAATTAAATTAATTAATTAACTTGTGTAAACCGACGCATAGCTCTGAAATAATGTAGAAATGCTTACTGATTAAAACAGAAAGTCCATACCTGCTATAATAAGCAGTCATTAACTTTAATTAATTAATCATTAATTGTATAGTCTTGGAATTGCGCCGCATACTGTATGGTCGTCGGTACGGTTTTCAGTTTTTATACACCATATACAACAGGAATAAGACTGATGTTTCCTCGTTTTGGGTACACTGAGTTTTGGTCTCCTTCAACTTTTACAAAGGAGCTTGTTAAAGATTTTGCGATACTCCGATTACGAAAAACTTTATTTCAAGGCCATTGATTAAAATCAGGGGCAGTTATAATAAAAAAGCGAGAACTGTCGTTTATATAATATACATTCTTAATTATCGAACATTCATATATAGTTTCATGCGTGTAATCCTCAGAGGGTATGCAGAGTCCAAAGAGCAGCAAGCTACTTGGACCACGTTCAGCCAAAAATTATGCGTACAGTTAGAAAATTGTGAAGGAAAAGCAAAAGAAGGCAGGAAAAAAATGTAGGTGATATGCTATCACTTACATTTTTTTACAGAATAAGGAAGACAAAGGAGCAATAGTCCACCCGATCGTAAGTGGACGCTGTGGCCCATAGACATCTACAATTATCTTCAATTAAGAATCAAAACGTAGATGTGATCCCTATGAAGAGGGAGGAATCAGTCCGGGGATCTTGGTGTCCAGATGGATGTCAAATTGACATTCCGGGAGCACAGAGGGAGAGTTTATCATTCGCAGAGCAGTAAAATTTAGCAACATTAAAGCAATCTCAGTTCGAGTGTAACTCGGCAATATGGGCTCCACATGAAGATAAATACAGTCGTATGCTGGAGCGCATTCAGAATAAATTGACGCGATTCATATATTATACGCTCTATGGGGTTTATCCCACCTACCCCTTGATGTATCCAACCTTGTTTGTTTTAAGTATTGTTGGATACAACAAGCTAGAAACTAGAAGGGATTTAGCGCTGGTAACCTATATTTTAAAGGTGTTCCATGGTTTCATTAGCAGCCCGGGTGTGCTGCAGTGGATAGGCTTACGCGTGCCTGATAGTGTACAGCGGCGACGGTGCGGCGGCTGAGTTTGCTCGCGATGCCACGCGGCAGGACTATATAATGTACTAAATTTGGTAGCTGAGAAGTTGGACTAATTTTCGTGTTCACGGAAATAGTTCGCAAAAGTGACATTATTTACAATATGTTATTCTTAAATTATATTATACAATTGATTATAATGTGTTGTTCTTCAAATTAATTATTATGTGTTGTTATTTAAATTAATTATTATGTGTTGTAATTAGTAATCTTTTACTTTTACTTTTTGAATTGAGATGCTACATTTATCGATTTAGGTTTTCCCTGTAATGGTAGATAATAGTAGGAAATATAAATAAATAAAATTTATTTATTTATTTATATTTCCTATATCTTCATAGTCTATATCTTCATATCTTTTTAGTCATTTTTTACGACATGCTAAGCAATTAACACTGTTGTCCCATTCTTTTTTGTTGTAAGTCCCACATAAACGTTTACCAACCGAAGGGTAAATATTTATGGTTTTTACGCTGCTTATAGCTACGAAACACATCAGCTATAAGCAGCGTAAAATATCAGCTTATAGCTGCTGTGTTTCGTGTGGTCAGTTTAGAGAACCGGAGACCCTTTTTACTGGATACGAAGCATTCCATCCTAGTCCTCAGGGGGACAACTCATCTGCATTTTTGGCTCACAGCATCCACTTACCATCAGGTGGATTATTTGCTCGTTTGTCACTCTTATTCTATTAAAAAAATATCTCATATATATAATAATATTTTTGGTAAAAATTTAAATTAAAAACTTAACATTTCCTTCATCATGAATCATATTTATACGAGATGTTTGAAAACAGAGCCTTAAAGACGTTTTATTCGAAACCTTGTATGAATTATCATAAAAAAATATTACCTACTTCCAAAAACCAAAACACAACAAAAACTATCAGTCCCAAATTCAAACGTTTAACATCACTTAATTTGTAACCTTCGTATTTGGGTAGCTCATTTATGTTTAAGTATCTTTTAAAAAGCTTTTGCGACAGACAGGTAGATAGCTATGTAGATAGTTACCAAAGTAATTGATATAACTTTGTTCTATTTTGATATTTTGAGCACGAAGTACTAAAAACCGTACCACGCGAAGATTAAACAGAGCTGTCTCTCCGCAAGTGACGAAAATAGGTGACAAAGCATCTGCATTTTGATTCTTAGTCGAAGATAGATTGAAGCGAATTATGATTAGATAGCTTTTTATGATTTCTTATATTTACGCGAACACTACACATTGGTTAAAATTACTTTAACGGATTTTATCGCGTTTAATTCATACGATTTTAATTCCCAATGTTTCGGGTGCTTTCCAGCACCCATAGTCACGGGGGACTGAGGTAACTGACGTCCCGATGTCAGTGTTGACCCGAGGTACCTTCAGCTTTTTAATTATTATTTATGGCCCGATCTAAGCAGAATGAACTTTCTTTGTCTTGAAGTCTTGCAGTGGTATGCTTGGGTTTAGTTTTACTTTTATTAATAACAGGGTCCCAAGCAGGTGGTGGTGCCCAGCCTCCTTCTCTATTGAAATTAGGATGTTTTTTAATTTCAATAGCCTCAAGTATCATCTTTGGTAGGAATCAATGTTCTGTCGCGAGGATTTGTAGTGATGTTTATTCTCATGTAATAGTTGGGGCCGTCTAGGATATGATCATAGGAAGTCTGCAGTTTGTGCGGACTTCCTATGTAGAATACAGCTTGTAAGTTCATTCTGCGTAGATCAGACCATAAATAATATTTTAAAAGCAGAAGGTACTCCGGGTTAACACTAACATCGGCAGGTCAGTCACCTCGGTACCTCGTGACCATGGGTGCTGGAAAGCATCCGAAACATCGAGAATTAAAAATCATATAAATTAAATGCGATAAAATTCGTAAAAATAGTTTTAATCACACATAGATTGTGTTAGTTTGCCACCAATGCCGTTAGCAATAACAAAAGTTTGCGTTCTAGTAAC